GAAAGGTCTCAACGAAAGGAAATATAGTCTTCTTCTTCAACCCCTTATCGTGATCGGATATAAATAATTCTTTATATTTCAAGAAGAGATTGTCGGAGGAGGGTACTCACAAAGAGCGATTGGGACATCTAGAAGGAATATATCTATTGGTGATGTCAAAACTTTAAAAGCGAATAATAATAATAATAGTAATCTTTATTTTGCTGTTGCTCATAATAAACCCCTAAAGAGCATCTAAAAAAGTGGCAGAGCACCTCGGTGTAACCCTACGGGGTCATTGGATTTGACCCATAGACTTGTTACATGTGGCATATAAGTCTACTGTCCAAAGTTTCAGATTCAAGCGTGGCAGAGGCATAGAGGCGTGACCCCAAGGGGTCATTGGATTCGATCCATTTTCGATAGGCTTATTACTTGTGGCATATAGGTCAACTGGGCAAAGTTTGAAACAAAACGGGCCAAGCGTTTGAGAGTTATCGTGTTCACGGACAGACGGACACCATCGACTCCCCTATAAAACTTGCATCGCTTTGCTCTGCCGCTTAATTTTAACATTTTACTATATACACGGTGTTCATTTTTCGAGTGCCACTATGGGGATCTCACTTATCTTAAAAGATAGAGCGTTGGTTAAATGGGGGCAAAGTTCCAATTATCGTGCTGAATAAGAATCTGAAAAGGAATTTGAAATATCTTCAATAGTTTTGAAGATATCGCAAGAAAACGAAAATTTCTGATTTTGATTTTTAATTTTGTTATGATAGACATTTCTAATTAACACATTATTGGACACTTTTTCATAGAGATTTCAAATATGACATCCTGTGTTTAATTACTTTCAAGATGACGGAGAAACACGTGGCAATTTTAGTTTTTCCTATGGGCGCCATATTGAATTTTGACATTTTGGGATTACGTCTTATTTTCTCTTTACAACGATATATCACACATGGTGGTTCAATATCACATTTTTCCTGAAAATACAATTTTTAATTTTTTGAGAACTTTGCTCCCATTTAACCAACTCTCTACCTCTTAAGATAAGTGAGATCCCCATAGTAGCACTCGAAAAATGGACACCGTGTATAGCAGCAAGAGAAACAAAAATAAATCTAACCCAAGTAAAGAATTTAAGTATTTAATTCAATGCCACTAATTGAAATCTATACTATAGAACTATAGAAAATGAAAAGTGAACTAATTATAATTAGATGCTAATTCGGTGCTAATTAAGTGCCCTATCCCCGAATTAAATGCTCCTCTTTTTTTTAAATTATTGCATGATCTGCCAGGTTCATATGAACTCAGCATAGCACTACCTTAAAAACCCAAGAAAATGAAAAGTGAACTAACTAATAATTAGGTTTTATCTTAATTATCAAGTATCACATAGTATCCTACGTCCCGTGCCTGTGCTACGCTTGCACTTTTCATAATTCAACGCACAATATAGCAATTTGTTTTCGAAGTACGCCTTTGTAAGATTTGTACGAACAATTTTTGTAACTCTTGGCGTTTAAAACAATAAATTAGCACCTTTTAATACACCAAATCACGAACAGTTAAAGACGTATTTGTTTTTGTAAACACAGTGTCTGCTTAAATCATGTAAATAGTAGAAGTAAAAATTAAAAAAAGGAAGAGCACAGAATTTGAAAACGGGCCACTTAATTAGCACCTAATCAGCACCTAATTATAATTAGTTCACTTTTCATGTTCTTGGTTTTTTGACGTAGTGCTCTGATGAGTTCATATGCACCTGGCAGAACATGTAATAATTTTTTTAAAAAAGGAGCATTTAATTCGGGAATATATCACTTAATTAACACCTAATTAGCACCTAATTATAGTTAGTTCACTTTTCATTTTCTTGGGTTTTAAAGGTAGTGTTCTGCTGTTCATATGAACCTGGCAGAACATTTAATAATTAAAAAAAAAAGGAGCATTTAATTCGGGGATAGGGCAAATAATTAACACCTAATTAGCACCTAATTATGCAATATGTTTGATTGTGTTCTTCTGACCTTGCTCTGCTAGGTTCATGGGCATCATAACTTAGCAAAGTTTTATTGAAGAATGAATATCTAAATCCTGCTAAAATTGGACACACTGCAATAAAATGATATACATCTTCTTCCTTTCTAGTTTCTAATACATAAGTTGCATAGTTTGCTTGTGATATTGTAACAATATTTGTTTAAAAAGAGTAATTCGCCTCTAGCTTTTAACCACCATGTGATAATATTAGAGTCCAGTTCTGATTTCACAAAATTTGTTTCTGTGCTTAATTGTTTGTATAAGGTATGATTACGGCTATGTTTACAATTTGCTATGTACCCTAAAGAGAATCCACTTCTTAGAGTTACAATCACCTCCTCTACTGCTATCTCACAGCACAAAAAATCATCCACATCAACACCACACCGATTACAAAGGGCACCAATATCCTTGTAAACGTTTTCTACTTATTTCTTTTATAACAATACCAGGGTATCTATATGTGTATATTTCCTACCAATGCGAAATATGATTTTGCCATCGAATGTGGCCTAACTATTTACCTTACAGGATTGTGCCTCCTCCAACCCCCCATTGACTAATATATTCTCTTACAGTAAAGACGATATATTTAGAAAAAATAAGAACCGTTAACCTTGAATAAAGATATTTGACTTTGTATCTCTTATCCTTAAGGTCAGAAGAGGGTTATTGACCGACTAGCGGCCGAGGAATATTAATATAACTACATCATAAGAACCACCCCCAATTTTATCAACCAGAAGACGTAGGAGAAAATAAAATTAGTAACATCCATTACATAAGTCGCTTTAAGATCAGCTATGTAGTCGTTGCTTTTTTCAATCTGTGTTTCGCCTAGAATTTTTGTATTATAGTATCATACTTTTTCCCACTGTTTTGGATTCTCGAGCGCTTAATTTATTAGCAAAATTCGTTTTTTTATTGCTTTTTTTTCATCCACAATTGAAATTTACCTACTTTATTTAGCTTATAGTCCAGGCTCTATAATATTTTTTGACAAAAAAAATTAGGTACCTTTTCAAAATCAAATTGGAGAAAAATAATTAAAACAATTGAATTTTTCCGCGGGTGAAATCCCGGGGGTTGAAAGGGTTGGAAACTGGTATTTTGCAATTTGTGGCAAAACTATTAAAGTTAGGCGAAAATGTTCAATATAAAAGTTCTAGAGAATAAAAACATGAACAACTTTGTAATCTGCATTATTTATATATAACCTCCAATTTTCCTAGAAAAACCGGAAAATTTTTTTTTTCTATTTTTATTCTTATTTTTACGAAAAAAGTCATAGGGGTTTGAAATTTGGAGTAAAGATAGCTTGTTCCATGATAAAAAGGAGACAATTTTCTTGGGCCCGTAAAGTTGAACCGTTTCCGAGATCTCACGATTTCTGAAAAAACACCTCTTTTTCAAGGGGATGCAAAAACTATTCTTTGTCATCGTACAAAGGTGCGCAGGGTAGCAAAATTTTCGAGAAGACTTATATTTTAATAAACAAAAATAAAAAAATATTATTCCTATAGCAAAAATTCGAGAAAATCGCCAAAAACTGGATAAACAGTTTTAAGATACACACGGTTTTTGACATGATAAATAAACGTGTTGTATGTAAATAAAGATTTTTTCGAAATCTGTCTTCTTGTTTCTCTTTAATGTTTGCTTAAATATTCTCTTTTGTTATCTTATGCTCAACTGTTTTAGTTCAAACATCTTTATTATTTCTTTTTTCTGCATTTTTACCGCAATAAAAGCAATTCGAAATAAAATCGAATTATCTTGCTTCCTGATTCCTGAACAATTTGTTTTTGTTCACTGGCTCTTCTTCCTGCCTGTTTTATAGCTGATACAATTGCGTTGGACCTGTTGATAAACTTGCAAAATCTGCAATAAGAACGTTAGTTTTACCGGTCAAAGCAAATGATTTGAGATTTAAAACCTGGAATAAACTTCGTGAGGATTTTATTAATAATTCCTGTAAATTAACGATCAACAGGCCCAGCTTAATCCCATCAGCTGCAAAACAGGCAGGAAGAAGAGTTAGTGAACAAAAACAAATTGTTCAGGAAGCAAAAGAATTCGATTTTACTTCGAATTGCTTTTATTGCGGTAAAAATGCAGAAAAAAGAAATAATAAAGATGTTTTAATTAAGACAGTTGGGCACTAGGAAACAAAAGAAAATATTTTAGCAACATTAAAGAGGAGAGAGAAGACAGATTTCATAAACTTTTTATTAGCGCGGATCCAATACGTTAATTTATTTGCAAAAAAAGCTATTTACCTACTGTCAAAAACGGTATATCTTAAAAACGGTTCCCCCAGTTTTTGCCGATTTTCTTAAAATTGGAATAATATTTTTTATTTTTGAAAATGTAAGTCCTTACGAAAATTTTGCTACTCCGCGCACCTCTGTACGATGAAAAAAATAGATTTTTCTTCCCCTTGAAAAAGAGATGGTTTTTTTCAGAAATCGTGAGATCTTGGAAACGGTTCCACTTTACGGGCCCAAAAAATTATCTTCTTTTTTATCATAAAACAAGCTATGTTTCCTCCATATTTCAACCCCCTTAAGACTTTTTTTCACAAAAATATAAATAACAAACGGAAAAAACAGTTTTTCCGGTTTTTCTAGGAAAATTGGAGGTTATAGTGAAGATACAAAAGTTGCTCATTTTTTTAATCTCTATAACTAACTTTTACGTTGAACATTTTCGTCTAAAATTAATAGTTTTGCCACAATTTGCAAAACACCACTTTCCACCCCTTTCAACCCCCGGGATTTCACCCGCGGAAAAATTCAGCTGTTTTAATTGTTTTTTCCCAATTTCTAATCATTTCACCTGCCTGAAAAACCCGGTTTCGCCCGGTAACTAATTTTTTTTTTAAATAAATTATTTGAGAGCTATTTAGCCTGGACTACTTATTAAATAGTTGACTTTTCATCTTGAACTTCTTATACTAAACTTTCCAACTTAAAACTAGGTTGAGATTCCAGCGCGTTCCATACGAAGGCAACTGAAATAAAGAGAAATCTGAACTGAAGAGTAGTGGATTACGTCTGTGTTACTGTAACATAGAAAAGTAAGAGTGAATAAAAGAAATCTTTTTTATACGAGTATGCTTGACTACCCTTAGCTAGAGTTCACCCCAATTTGGGGTTCGAGTACGTACTACGCACGCACTTATTGATTATCTGCACAATCTGGCTTCGAACCTGTCCTAAATACATTAATGTTATTTTCACGCAGTGTCCTGATATATGAAGCTGAAGTAAGGGATGAAACGATAGATACGCAACAATGTTTGGTTTTGTGAACTACACGCGTTTATACCGACGGCGGTGACGTAAGTTCGTCGCGGCGCTGATGTCGACCATGGTGTCTGCTGTTCGATTTTTCGACGCCTGCATGTAGAATTCCGCCTCAATTAGTGACAATATCCTTAGATATGCCGGTTTAATATAACAAAACCATGGTCGTAATGGCGAGTATGGATGAACACGAACGAAAGATCGTCATGGAATTTTGTCATTTACTAGAAAAATCAAAGCAACTATTTAATGGATTACGGTAAGGAGAAATTTCGTATTTAACCACATGTTAATAACCTCCACAGTGACTCACCCACCCCTCTAATTACCGCCAATTTTATTATTTTGATTTTTTCTTTGATGTTAATTCTCTGTTACAGAGATCTACCTCAATACGGGCATAAACAGTGGCAAGCATATTTTGGCAGGACTTTTGATATTTATACAAAATTGTGGAAATTCCAACAGCAGCATCGTCAAATTTTGGACACGAAGTACGGCTTGAAAAGATGGCAAATCGGAGAGATTGCCTCCAAAATTGGTCAGCTTTATTATCACTATTAGTAAGTAGGCATTATTTCGTTAATTAACGCCCAATTTACATATCTGCAACACCCACACGGATCGCAACGTGTGTGGGTTCCGTTAAATGTCAAACTTTCAGCATCCGCCGTTGTTTACTTTGATTAAAATCTGCAGCGTTTCGGATATTTCCAATTTATCATCTGACCTAAAAATCGGCTCATAAAAAATGTAGGAGCACCCCATTGCCCTCCTTAGCCAATAGCCGCGTGTTTTTCCTAATCGTCGTGGGGTGCGAGAATTCAAAAACAGTTGAAAGACCTTACGAAGGCTACGCTCCAACTGGAACGCTTCCAAATTTGTTGACCTACACTGGATTTCTTTAATAATTCCTGCAATTTTTGAAGTTTCTGAACGCGCCAAAACTTATTTCATTTTAAGAGTACGTGCTGTGTCTCATAACGTAGGTACGAAATGACAGTTGCCAAAATATCTTCATTTGTCAACGTGGTTGCCAAACGATTTGCTCTCGTACTACGGATCTAAATTATGCCCGTACATTTTTAAAATTGAAACTTTTATCTTTTATATCTATCTCAATTCATGAGGTGCTTGATTTGATTTGATTGTGATAATAGGTGACATTCACAATTCTGTGTGGTGTATCACAGGGTTCTCTTGTAGGTCTATACCTTTTACAATATATGTATCATTTACAGTTCTGATTTGTAGGTATCCTCGGACACGGCGATTATTACTTTAACTTGCACGTCTTTTGCATGAAAAAATTTATATACAGGGTGTCTTAAGTAGGAAGTATGATGTTGGCAACATTTTGCGTATTATGGTAATATTGAAATGCCTAAGGTCACGTAATAGACCTATGAAACATAAGACCGTAGGTCAAATTGTTCCTTTCATTCTGATGACATTGTGTATACACTGGTTTATTTTTTCATCTGAATTGTTTCATTCACATTTCCCAAAAATTAAACAAATATAGCAAACGAGCTCCCGGGTATGGCTCTAGCATGTTCAAAACCAAATTTTAAACCTGATGTTAGTTTTGCTTTTATTTAAAGTGTATATGTATGAAATTTCATTTAATTGCTTCCATAAATAAGAAAGTTGGCACTGCATACCCTACACCAAACCAAATTTGGAAGATGGCGCTACATTTTCTTTTATTCCAAGTGACTATGTATCAAATTTCAATTAAATACCTTCATAAATAAGAAAGTTTGCAATTCGGTCTGTAAGTGGTCGAGATGCGCAAAGTGCACTGTGAATGCTGTTCGATTAGGCTCAACTTTTGGAATTGTGCTTTCTATGACTAAACCTATGCGCATATTAAATTTCATGCAATTCGGTTCATAACTAACGGAGATGTCAAAAGGGCCTACTTTATTTTTTGGTCTACATTGCCAATTCATGAACTCCGATTTATAAATTTGATAAAGAATCCACCTGCAAAATTTCATGGTGATCGGTCCATTCATTTATGAGTTATCGTGCTAACGGACGGACGGACAGACTCCGCAAAATTATAAACTCGCTAGGAGCTCGTTAATAAAGCGGGAAATGAATCTAGAGCGTGCTTCTGGAATTCTAGTGCAACTCAGCCAAATCTACACCAGAATGCTCCAGTAGGATTGCGGAAAAAATTCTCTGAAAATGCACGTGTGTCGTAATACGCCAGATCAATCACCATTTCCGTTGATTAAACGCATTTTAGGTACTTTAGATTTCTCCCAGGCTGCTTTAAATCCCAGACATACTATCTTTGGTCTTCGCAGTGAACCCTCGAGTGTAGGCTTACAAAATTGAAACGGGCCTCTCTGTACTCGGTTCAGCTTCACACGTGAAACATGGATTCGGTTTCGCATATTTGTAAACGGCGGACGCATCCGCATGCATGCGAAAGTTGCCCCTTCCCCACAACTATTTCGGAATTCGAACTCAGTTTAATCGCGATCGAATGTATGCCGTAATGTAATGGTCTAGTGGCAAGGAAACTCTGCTTGCAACCGGGCGGCTCGGTTTCTTTGCGTGGAAAATCTTTTTTTATTTCATACTATCTAGTAATCGCCGCTTTCCCAGACTGATTTGAGTCTGGTAATAGTTATTTTTCTACTCATATTAAATAATAGGTAGAATACTGATGCGTTTTTAATTGAGAAAGTTATCTATTATTCAATATGTTTTCATTATTCAACTGTTGTCAGCCAATCGTATTCCGAGTTTGTCATTACTCTTCAGCTCACATTGTAGGGTTGCCTTGGAAACATGTGTGTAGCAAAAATCAAGATCTCGGATCGTGATAAATTCAGTTGTCAAACATTAATGTCAATCAAACAAATTACGAGAAATCAGTTTTGTGAAAATTACGTGAAAATGGACAGTAGTGCAATCATGATGAGCAGTGACGACGATATAATTCTAACTTCTCCGTATTTTACGTACATTGCTGATTTTGTCAATTGTTTGATGACATAATAAAACCATTATGCATAATGTTATTATTACTGTAATTATTGAATACAAGTAGAAAAAGTATAGTATTTAACTCGTGAGAAAGGCATTATTCACTCAGGTAAATTACGCCACTCGTCTTCGACTCGTGGCGCAAATCTTATCTTCGTGAATAATTGCCAACTTTCTCACTCGTTGAATAATATACTATTATTTAATCAGTGGGATAACGGCCTCATTAACTTACGAATGCGACAATTGCGCATACGAGGGCGTTAGCCCGAGCTATTGTAAGAGCATGAGTATGTTAATGGCCGTTAGCCCAAGTATTAAATACAACTTTTTATCTGCGACTGTTCTTCTACTGCTAAAAACGAAAAATAAATTTGATGCATTTTTTTAAATTCCAATCGAAGTAGCATAGTTAGCAGTTTTCGACGCCATAGAAACAAGCAAATCCTAACGTCAAGAAAATTTTTACGTCAAAAATTTTGCTTCTGATTTCTTTGCGTATGTCATGAGTGAGTCTGGAACTATTCCATCAGACGTTAATGTTTACAATAAATAATCTTGATAGTTGATTTTTGATCATACATTGTTTTGACAAGGGATTATCCCACTGAGTGTGGTAATGAAGTTCTTATCCCACTGAGTGTGGTAATTAAGTTCTTATCCCACTTAAAATGACCGGGATAAGTGAGAGTTATCCTACAGGCGCAGATAAATCGTATTTTACCAGACTGAAAATTTTTACCAGACTGGAAATTTTGCCTAGCAACATCAACTGACATCCATCTAAACCTATATATTAATGTGTCAAACTACTGTCAGATCAAACAAATCAAGTGATCGATTTTTGCTTTCATTTGAATGCGTACACATTCTAATCAAAAATTGTATGGCATTTAATAGAAAAAAGAGCAGTATGAAATAAAATGTTTTACATTATTTGTATGTTAAATCAGTTAACGTTACTCGTTTCGAAATTCCTGCCTCAGCTACGCTTCGGCAGGAAAAATCTCACTCGTTAACGTAACCCTTGATTTACCATACTCATATGTAAATAACTATTTACAAGAATGCGTATCCCATTTCCGCGGAGTTGGACATAAGGTTATTTGTAGGTTTAAGAGTTTTTTTGAAAAGCAAAGCTGTACGAAAATGCTACAGTGTTCCGAAGGAATAACGCGTTTGCTATTTACAAATATACGTCCGAGACCCTCTTTGAGAAGTTTCCAAATCAAACCATACCATTCCGTTTGACAAAAGTAAAACTTTGATTGGTGATCTCACTTTTGTTTAGGATCAGACATTCTCTTGGAAAGTATCCTCCTCGTCCCCTCTTACAATTTCGTCGGATTGTGTGTACAGAACTACGATTTCGATTTTCCGAAGGTTCACCAATCAGAAACGGCTACCTCGTCGAATGTCCTAATCATCTTTTCCGGCTATGAAAACTGCCTCATTTACAAGATACGCCCGCATTACTCGTAGTTTGATGACAGATCGTTTCCTTTAAGAATATTATGATTGCATCCGCTGCAAATTCTTAAAAATAACAGATCAATACTTTTCACAATTAAAAAAAAAATTAAAACGACTTAGGGATATCGCTCGAACCGGTGTTTTTCTCTAAGTTACAAATGATACAGTCCTGCCTTGAAAAGACTCCCTCCAAGAAAAATTTAAAACTGGATCGCTTTTGAACATACAGTTGAAGTTTTGTGCCTTGCCATTTTAAATACGATTTAAGAGTCTCTGCTTCTTTAACGAAAACGATTAGGGGGTCTTGTTTATATCATAATTATCGTACGTTCCGTAAATTTGTCTTTCGAGACTAACGTTCGCGAATTAAAAATAACTTTCTCCCTGTAATAACTGTGTTAACATCACTTGTGGAGATAAGAGAGAATCTATGTACGCACTGCAATAAAACAGATCGTCTTTACCAGACGAAAGCTACGTTACGTATTTTACTTCCAACTGGTTATTCGCACAATTTTGTACACGCATAATTTTGTACACGAGTTTAACTATGGCCCTACTCTAATTCAGGCCCACAGACTGTACACGCGATTTACAAAATTTACGCGGATGATTTTTGGAACTCTCTTGAAACCGCTCAATAAAATTTGCGTGATTAGTTGAATAGAAGAACTCGCAAAGAACTCTTCGTAGCTGCCCGTAAAGCGTTGTATTGAAAATATCTCCACGGTGTTCTGTAGAGCTCAAATAGTGATAATGAGAAAGTGTTTTTTTTTATTTTGTGTATCAGAAAAAAACAAAATCGGCAAATTTCGGTTCTCTTGGGAAGTAATAAAAATTTTCACAAGACGAGACGAGACGAGAGGCCGAGACCGAGACCGAGACCGAGGCAGAGGCAGAGGCAGAGGCAGAGACTGAGACTGAGACTGAGACAGACTGAGACTGAGACGAAAAATGCATACCCGTTCAAACTACATCGGGATCCACAATATATAGATTCAATCGCCAGAATAATTATGATTGTAAATTGCAATTAGAACCTCATGTTTTGCACTGTTCAGTCTGCTGCCTAAGTAAGGCGTGC